GTTCTCTAGGCCTTTTAGAAAACATGGAGTTGTTCCTTTGGCCACATATATGCAAATCTAAAGAAAGGTAATATTATAGACATCAAGGGTACGGGTACTGTTCAAAAGACATGCCAAGCAAATGTCACCATGGCAAAACTAGAAGAGTCTACAATGTTACCCAGCATATTGAGGCAATGTTGTAAACAAACAACTTAAGGGTAAGATTCTTGCCAAGAGGATTGATGTTCGTATTAAGCATAGTAAGTATTCTAAGAACTGAGATAGCTTCCTAAAATACGTGAAGGAAAATGACCAGAAGAAAAATGAAGCCAAAGAGAAAGGTACCTGGGTTCAACTAAAGTACCAGCCTGCTCCACCCAGAGAACACTCTGTGAGAACCAACGGAAACCCATGGAACCCATTCCCTATGAACTCATGGCATAATGGGCATAGCTGGCTTTGTCACATTCAATGGAAAGGAGCCTCCCCAAGCTGCTGGAACCTTTTCCCTATGAATTCATGGCATAACAGGCATAAAAAATAAAAGGCTACTGTAAAAAAAAAAATCTTGTATGATGATAATATTGTGGTTATGCAGAATATCTTTAGTCTTAAAAGATAGGTATGTAAGTGGTTATGGGTGAAGTGTCATGGTAGCTGAAATTTACTTTCAAATTGTTCAGAAAAAAAGTGTCCATACAGAGGGAAAAGTGAACACATATGTTAATAACATATGTGAAAGAAAAGTGGCACATATGTTAATAACAAATGAATCTGAAAGATGATAATGAGTGTCTATTACATGCATTACTCAATTTTTTCTGTAGGTTTCAATTTTTTCTAAATATAGAACTGGAAAATATTTAACATAATTTGAAATATGTCTTAATACACACCTACTAAAAATGATTAATTTTTGTTGTATTCTAATTTGGTTTAAAACATATATCTATGCTAAGGGTACATATGGGGCATATAAAAAGATATAATGGACATCAGAGACTCAGAAGGGGGCCTACGGGAGGGGGATGAAAGATGGAAAATTATCTGTTGGGTATAATAAAACTAATTATTTGGGTACTAGGTACATCAAAAGCCCAGACCAGAGTCAGAGCACGATGGCAGACTAGAACATGTCTTTTGCAGTCACTCGTGGTGAGACCAGGGAAAGCGGATTCCAGCCACCTCTGGAGTGGGCACAAAGAAACAGCAGAAAACTCCAGGGGCCAAAAGGGAAGACAGGAGCAGGGAAGACCAGCACAGAAGGCAAGTGTTTGGGTGCCAGTAGAGGCCAACTGGCTCTCCAGTGGCAGGCTTGAGAGAGAGCTGTCCTGCAGGCTTTTTTGAACTTGGGTACTCACCAGAGCTACCTTGGGAGAACTTAAGCAAGCAAGTAATCTTGAACAGCACCCAGTGGCTGGCACTGAGCCATCAGGTGGGGTGGAATTCTCATAGTTCAGGCGATAGCAGGATGCCACCACTGTAGGAGGGTTACCCAGGAAAACAGTGTCTTAGTACAACTCCAGCTCTGTCATGCCTGCTGAGCTGGGCAGCCAACCTGAGGGGCACTTGGGCAGATCCCACTCCCCTGGGAATGCCACTGTATGGCCAACGACACTGTTTGAAAAGGTGAGGTCTATCTCTTAAGTAGGCTGATGACAGCTTCAGGCTCCCAACCCTGCAGGGATTGAGGTCAAATAAATCAGGAAGACGGAACTAGGTCTCCTTGAGTATGAGACAGTGGCATCTAGTCCTCATCTTATATAGCACAATCAGTGGCATGATAAGAGTCTCCCAACCCCAGACCAGCTGGGGTTGTCCAGGAAATATAATACATAAATACATTATTTTCTTTTTCCTTTTTTCAATTTTTTTCCCTAATTTTGTTGTTGTTGTTAT